GTGTGTGTGTGTGTGTGTGTGTGTGTGTGTTTTCGGTGGTTGTCCAGGGCGATGAAGCTGTACGGTTCTTCATGGTGGCACTGACTCTGTGATCAAGGAGCAACTATCCACTGATTGGGTTTTCTGAGTTAAATCGCAGGTGCCGTTTAATCCAGATCATATTTATATATGCTGAGCAGAGGGCTTTCCCCCCCACTATCAGTTCAGAGTTATCACGATTTATTATTTGAATGAATAAACGACCACCCCCACCCCCCATTTCATCGTCTGTAGCTGTTGAGTCAAACCATGTCAGCTTTTGAGGCGACGCGTAAAAAGATGCCATTTGGCAAAGACGCGCAAAAAAAAAAAAAAAAAGGAAATTCTGAAGCCTGCTGGTGCCAGCTCGGAACCAAAACCGCGGATCCATTTTAGGAATGACCAAATCATTGGATGGGAGGTGGATGGAGCGATGCAGTTAGAGGTTTTTTTTTTTTTTTTCAAGCTGCGCCTCCATCTCCTCCTCCACCCTCCCCATGAATGTACCAGAGCTTTACATTTTTATTTATGGCATCGTGTCGCGTGTCAGGTTGTAGCCGGATAATGTGTGTGTGTGTGCGCGCGCGTGTGTCGGAAGCGACAGCTTTGTTACATAAAATGATGTGACAGGATTTGGCAGTGCCTGACCTGGTGATGACACATTTGTTAGAGAAGTCATTTCTGTGAGCCTTAGCCTGACTGTTCGGATCCAGACCCCCGCCATCCCCCCCCAAATCCAGAACGAAAACGCATCGGGTTTCAACTCAAATTGTCTGCATCCTCAGATGATCATGACACCCTGAGGGTGTGTGACAATGACAAGTTCAAATCCATAAATAGACACATTTACACCTCTTCAATTATTGCACTGCAATCATTTAAGTTCACACATAAATTGCTTATTTGTAAAAAAAAAAAAACAGATTTAGGATTTGAACCTGTAGCTTTAAAACCTGTTTTCACATGAAATTAAAGGCCTACCATTCCATTAGGAATGCATATCACCCTCTGCCTTTCATTGGAGTTTCAGTTATACTGCTGCCACATCTTCCACGTTGTTACTTTGAATATCTCTCAGGTACTGCCACATAAACTTTAGCTCATTATCTGTCATTTTGAGTAAGCATAGGATTTTTGTCAGTTAGCTGTGGCAATAAGAATTGTTTTTAGTGCACACAACTCAAATTTCCTTATAAAAAGGGAAAGAGAGTGAATGGGTGCCTGGTTCTGAAGGATTAAAAAATGGGATAACCAGCACTCCAAAAAATACTRTTGTTTCAATAAGGGCAGAAAACAGGACACATTTTGGCTGCTTGTTATCGTCAACTTGTTACAGATCAGACAAGCTACAAATCTATATAAAGAGGTAAAAAAAAACACCTAAGCCAATCACAAACAGGTTGGGCAATCAGCCCCCAAAACAGAAACATCTGTGACTAACATGCACAACTAGTAGACTTCAATAATATACAATATAGGGATACATGAAATCACAGAAAAGTTACAAAAAATGTTTTTACAAAAAGGACAAAAATCACAGAAAGCAGTTCAACGCCAGTTCTTCGTTTAGTCGTTAACAGTCTGTAAACAGTGTTAGCTGTGGCAGCCATCTTGACAAGTTGACAATCAGTTGTGGATGTACAAGCTGCAATAAAATCTTTGTCCTACGTGATTCATGAAATAATTTGCCAACAGACACAGCTGACAAACAGTTAAGGCAGAAGTTTTCAGTAAAAGTGTGTGGTGTTGTGTGTTGAGGATGAGTCTCAGCTACTAATTTGAGCTCAAAAGTCTGCAAAATGAGTTGCATCATAGCCAGTTTTGTGTTTGCTTAAGTTGCTAAGCTGGACGGCCATTTTGAATAGGACTGATTTCAAAAGTTAAATTGTATATGCTCTTACAGTTATTAGTTAGTGAGTTTTATTTAAATTTATGAGATATTTTGGGAGGTACAGACAAATGAAAACACACAAACATGAGAACATGCATTAATACTCCACCTCACTCTTTCAGCAGGTGATAACCAGCCAAATACATGTAAAGATTGACTGGAGTTTACACAGGTTTTGTTCCCTAAAAGAGCAAACAGCATTCCTTTGGAGCAGCATGCCAGCACACATAACAGACAGGTGTCAGATATGATAATAATCTAAATGAATTGAATTTTTTTTATGAAAATATATCCAAATGGACCGACGGTCATGATTTTACACTGCCATCACCTCTGCGGTCACATCTCCCAACACTGCTCCGCGCTATAACTGTTACACTGACAATGATTCCTATCACGCTAATGCATTGCAGGCCTGGAGCTTCTCTTACCAGATAAAAAAAATCTCAGTTACATACTATTCCTGACATCAACACTCTAAACTCATCRCCTCCCTCTCCCCTCTCCACTGTCTGCAGCCCATGGGATCAGAGCGGATGGAGATGCGAAAGCGGCAGATGTCGGTGCAGCAGGAGTCGCCCGCGGGGGGAACTGCACCAGCCCAGCAGGACCAGCCGGTTCAGGCCAACCYACGAGGCTCCAACGCGTGTTGCTTCTGCTGGTGCTGCTGCTGCAGCTGCTCCTGGTAGGTTCTTCCCCCAGCCGAGAGCACCGCTCGGGCTCAGCACGGCCGACATYACTGCATGTAAGGCAGCACAGCCTGAGCCGCTGAGCCTCAACAGCAGGCCAAACACTTCTGTCTCACGCTCTCCACAGATTTGCATGTGAGCTGTGGATGTCGGTTTTGCAGCAGCCTTGTTATATTCACGAACGCCCCCCCCCCCACTCCCCCTCGCTTGCATATAAGCTCTTTCTGTGGTCCAGCTGACAAATCTGAATCAAGCAAAGATGAAGGAAGGTGAAAAATGCGTTTTAGGTTGATTACATCTACTGATCAAATTTTGATTCAGCTTCTTGTGGTTTACAGTTTGCATGTAGAAACTGAATTCCACTTTACGGAGTCCTTGTAGATGTGCAAAAACAACAACCATGTCATGCACGTGTACAGTGAGATTATATTCGACAAATTACAACCCCAAATTTGAAAAAGACGAGATGTTGCGTAAAATTCTTTTAAAGAAAGCAAAAAGCAATGATGTCCAAATTGTTTAAATTCACATTTTATTCAAATGAAACCTATGTTAAAAAATTTTTTAGGGGCAAACTAAGGTAATTTTGAATGTGAAGTCAGCAACACATCTAAAGAAAGACAGGTCAAGGCCACGTTCATCACTGTGAAGCACCCACCCTTCTTCAAAAGGGAGGAGACCAGTTTTTGGAGTTTTTGAAGAAGAATTTCCTCTTGTTTGATGTATGCAGTTGTTCAGTAGTCCCGGGTCTTTTTTTTTTTTTTTGCTGGTTTTGCATCCATAGTCCCCAGATGTGTAATCAGCCCATGCCAGAGACATGAATACGCCTCCCTACCATCATAGAACCAAGGTTTTAAAATGAGCRCTGATAACAGGCCGGATGGTCTGTGACATTCACATGTTAGAAAGGGTTCAAAATTAATAGTATAATATAATAGTTGTGCAAAAAATCCAGCTCCCAAAAATGTTAATTTTTCAGATCTAAAAACTCCAACTAATGCTTAGAGCCACTGTCTGAGTGTGTGGCCCTGAGTCTCATCAGAACACCAAAATGCAACGACTTCTAACCCTACGTGTCCTTAACATACATTGATTCTCTTACTGGTTAAATTAAATGACCGCAATCAATCCCAATAAAAAAAAGATATAAGACTATATCWAAAATTCAGTTAATCAGTCAAAATTTCCTTTACATGGCATCCAAAAAGAACAAGTTTTGATTCCAGAACAGTTTTGCCTCAATCAGTTTTAAATGAGCTTTGTCCTAGGAAAGCAGTGTTGTTCACGCACGGCTTCCTCTTTGCACGATAGAGCTTTAATCATCGTTTGTGGACGGCATGACAAACTGTGTTTTCAGACAGTCCCTCGTGGAAGTGCTCCTGAGCCCATGCAGTGATGTCCACAACAGAATCTSACCTGTTTTTAATGCAGTGCTGCCTGAGGTCCTGAAGCTCACGAGCATCCAGGATTAAAGTTCAGTTTTGTATTTTGTAAACAGAGACTTTTTAAGACTCCTGAAAAATTTTAATGATGTCATAGACTGCAGACGATGACAAAGTTTCCCAAATTCATAACTGAGGAACGTTATGCTGAAACTGTTTCACTGTTTTTAGACAAAGCTTTTTGCAGACTGATGAGTCTCTGGCCATCTTTACTTTTAAAAGACTCAAACTCTCTAAAAGGCTATTTTTATACGCAGTCCTCCTACTGACCTGTTGCCAAATAACTGCTCTTCCAGCTGTTTCTTATTTGTACCACTTATTGTTACAATTTTTTTGTCCCTGCTCTAAGATGTGTTGCTGTCACCACATTCAAAATGACCAAAACTGACCATAAAATTGGACAATTTCTTGTGTTTCAATGTGAATGAAACATGAGGGGTTTACAATTTTTTGTATTTCTTTTTTTTGCAAATTTTTTCATTCTGTTTTTCTTTACTTTTTAAACCACATCTCCACTCTTTGGTAAACATGGATATGCAAATGAATTCAATACAGTTGTTTGTTTGGACGGGTGGATGGTGCAAAAAATATTATTGCTCACTTAAATGGAAAACTTTAAAGGTTTTTTTGGTTACATGAAGGAGTTTATTAGTTAGTTAGATACTGATTTAAAGCACCACACCATTTGTCTTAGTTTCCTTTTTAAGGCTTCCCTTTTATAAWCTATTGTTTGACTATTGTAATGTCCTGATTAAAATAGCTTTAGGTACATGCCCAAAACATCATGACAACACATAGAAAAACTGTTATAAATTCATTAGGAAAGATATTTTCTGTACGAGTTGCCTGCGATTCAGCCGTAGGCCTGTAGTGGGCGCACCAGGCACTGAAGATCCCTGTATAAAAGACTGGAACTTCCAGTTTCAGGCAGYGCTGCTCGGATTGCTTCAGTGTAAGCAATAAAGCTTGCTCGTAACCAGATCTGGGGTTGTATGGTTCCAAATTTCGTCACATTTTAATCGATTCACTATTAATGTGGTTTTGTCACAATTTCAGTTAACGAACACGAAATATTCTTACATATATATTGTCAAGTGTTCAATTTGTCAAGACGTTCACCACTTCCAGTTCATCTGGTTGGGCTGATGGATTTATTTTACAAACTTAAGAAAGCAGTTTGGAAGAAAGTTATCATTTGCTGAACCTCCAGTTTCATATGTTTTACACAAACTGTAATATAGACAAATGATAAAATAACAAAAAAAAAATATCAGGGGAAAAATAAGTTTCTCACATTGCTTTTCAGCAAAATAAAAATAAATAGACATAATAGGCAATTAAAGTTTTTGGTTTTCCTCAGTTTACTTCTCTCTCTGTCCTTCAGGAATGAAGATCGGGATGATAGGAATCGAAAGGCATCATATGACATCAAAGAAGGGACCTCAGACTGTGAAGACTGGTCAGCTCAGATTACTGCGCATAAATGCCTCAAAGTTTACAAACGTCTTCTGTTTTTCAAATTGTGAAGTCCGGTGTYCTTCTTCTCTGTGCAGTCCTAAGCCCACGTTGGAGGACGTGCGTTCTTGGGGTCAGTCGTTCGATAAGTTGATGTGCTGTCCCGCGGGGAGGAACTCTTTTCGTCAGTTTCTTCGCACCGAGTTCAGCGAGGAGAACATGCTCTTCTGGCTCGCGTGTGAGGAGTTTATCAAAGAGACCAATAAAAGTGTGGTAGAGGAGAAGGCCCGGGTCATCTACGAGGACTACATCTCAATTCTCTCGCCTAAAGAGGTATGACAGGTTTCTTTTTTTTTTTTTTGTTTCAAGCAGCAAACTTTATGTCGTGATAAATGTAGAGTTAGATAAAAATATTACTATTACTTTTATGTTTTTATGGAAACTGTAAACCGGTTAATAATTACGGGACACCAAGTGTAAAGTAAAATGATTTAAAAAAACGTCTAACACATTTTCCTTAGAGTAAAAGCTTAGTTAAAATATTTCCACTAAGATTTGTTATTTAGCTCACTGTTCATGCATTTTGCTCATTTTTAGTACGTTAAATAAATGTGAAATGTTATGTCTAAATGTTAAATTGTAAATCTAAATGTGTAAATTTCAACATGCAGTATGTACTTAAATGCAGCTAAATGTTGCAATTTACACTTAAGTATTTCAGAATGGAACACAGCTTTTCCTGTTAGTGCGTGGCTTTTGTTATGACATCATCATCTTGTGACAAAAGCAACTGCTAACGCTACTGCTAACGCTTCCCAACAAGACATCAAACTTGATGTCCGAGGCGCACTTCAAAAGCACAATTATCGTCCATATTGTTTTCGGTGAACACATTTCAATTTTAGATTTAATTAATTTTAATTCAATTCAATTCAAAAATACTTTATTGATCCCAGAAGGTAATTAGGTCATGCCATCTTCAGCTGTGTTAACAGCGTTAGCATTTGCTTTTGTCTCCTTAAAAAAAAGCCACTGATGATGAAGAAGCTAAGATACTAATGTTCAGATATTCAGTTCTGTTTTCTACTGAAGTGGCAAGAAAAAAAAAGCATTTGCTTTTGTCGCAGGATGATGATGTCACAAAAATAGCAGCTCACCAACAGCAAGGGCTGTGTTCCATTGTGAAATTCTAAAATGTAATAAATATCATTTGCAACATTTAAGATTTATTTTGTTAATTTAGATTTATGATTTAACATTAACATATAACATTTAAGTGTAACATTTAGTTAAAATTTAACAAAATGTAAATGCAGTAAGTTAAATAACGGAAAGTGAGCTGCATTTGTTAACATTTTGTTTTACACTTGGCACCCCATAGTTAATGTATTAACTTTTGATGACAATTTAACATCACTTAACCCCCCACCCCCGACTATTCCTTTTAAAACTACCACATATTGTTCATTCTATTGTTGTCTTCCTGCTTCTTCCAGGTGAGCCTCGACTCCCGTGTGCGTGAGGCCATTAACAGGAACATGCTAGAGCCCACCTTGCACACGTTCGACGACGCCCAGTTGCAGATCTACACACTAATGCAAAGAGACTCGTTTCCCCGCTACTTGAACTCCCCAGCCTACAAAAACCTGCTCAACACTCTGTCCGAGCAGTCCCCCGAATCTTAGGGTGGTGACGACCTGTGATCTTTTAACTTTCTCTTTAATCCATATCCTCCTTTTTTTTTTTTAAAAAAAAAAACGAGTTTTTTTTTTTTTTGTTCCTGTTTCGTTTTTTTTTTTTTGTATGTTCAGTCTAGGATTACATGAGCCAGGCTTCCAGCCCGGCCCCTCCCAGGGATTTCAGAGCTATTGCGATCTGCACCTGACCGAAGACACTCAGGTCTCAAAATCTCCCGAGGGCTCGACATCACACGTACTGCTACAGATCAGCATAGCAAAACACTCCAAAGGAATATGAACACACTTTAATTCTGTTTTCTTTCTTTTTTCTTTCTTTTGATAGAAATAATCTATTTTGTTTTGTGTTCAGAATTKTTTATATGTTGTTATTTATTCTTTTTTTTGTATAATGGTTACATTTGGGGGGGGGGTGATTCCTACTGTAGAATATATATATTTATGAGTTTGTAAATATAGTTGAAATGAAATTGTGGGTATTTTATGTGGAAACGCCTGGTTCTATTTACTGCGTATGAAAATCAAAGCTCAAGTCAAAGCTACACGTTAGCTCTACTTGCAGGCAGCTTTGTGGGGTACTATTTATTTAACTTTGGTTTTACCTTTTTTTTTTTTGTTACCTTTTTTTGTTACCTAACCTCACACTTCAGCACCTGTGGCAGCGACTTGGCAACTCCAGTTCATGTAGAACCCATTGTGTGATTGAAAATACTGTGAAGTGTGGTGAAATCCCAACAGCCCTTATAAAGGGGGCACAACTCGTTTTACACAAGAACATTGTTGGAAGAACAGTTTAACTTATACAGTCTTAATATATACAAACACAATTTGTTTTTAAGTGTTATATACGTCACAACTCATGGGGCTCCAGTAGCTTGGTGGTCAATGTCGCAGTCACACAATTCTAAGGCTGTGGGTTTGAGCCCAGGTTGCGTCAAGAACGGCATGTGGCGTAAAACCGTTTCTAGTTTTCTCACTGTGGTGATCCCCCCACCCCCAAACCCCCCGCCCAGCAGAGGGGAGCAGCCAAAACATGTCAGATGTCATAGATTTATTACTGGTGTGACCTGCAAACCCAAGTATATTTGAACCAGAGAAAGTATTTTTAAGTATTACACAACAATACAAAATATATTTAAATCTATTAAAGAGATATTATTGCACTGTCAGAAAATATACATATACAGTATTAATACTTTATTTTATGGGTCTGCAATTTTCCAGCAACTTTCATGGATTTTTTTGCAAAAGGATGGGCTGCCCCGCTATTAAACATGGCACAGTGAGAACTCCAAACATTTCGAAACACTGTTTTTATGTTTTATGTTACAAGAAACTTTAATTGATCAGTCGCAAAATTAGAGAGTTAAACTATAGCACAAAAACGTAAAGTAATTTGTCTTTGATGGATTATTTCTTTGTTGTAACAATTCTTCTTGGCAACAAATCTTATTTATTTATTTATTTATTTATTTATTTACCAGGCAAGTCCCATTGAGATCTCACGTCTCTTTTTCAAGGGCGGCCTGGGCCTGAAGACAACCTATTATACATGTTTTGGGGAGTGGGGGAAACCAGAGTACCCAGAGAAAGCCCATGCAGGCACGAAAAGAACACGCAAACTCTGTACCGAAAGACCCCAGGTCCGAACCGGGGATCAAACCCAGGACCTTGTTGCTGTGGGGCGTCGGTGCTAACCACTGAGCKGTCGTGCTGCCAAATAGCGGGCACCTGATTGGCACCAGAAACTCAAAAAAAGTCAATAACAACAGCAAAATAAGCTGTTCGCAGAGAAGAGTTGGCATGTTTATGCAACCCGCAAATGCATGTTCCTTACAAATGTGGCACCATTTAAAAGGAAAATTAACTGGCTTTCCAACCGTGTATGTTTTATTACAGAGAAGCATTGTTACAACAATGAAATAATCTACCAAACCCAAAACTTCCTTACTTTTGATGCTAAGTTTAGTTGCAAGGAGACAAGTGGTACCACTATTCTCATCTTTTTGTCAGAAACCACATAGGTGTGTCCCACAACTTTTATTCCTCACCATTTGCACTCAAATGTTCATTGTAAACACATTTATTTGACTTKTTAAAGGAGTTCTAGCTTTTGGGGGAGCAATTAACCAATTAAGCAGAGAAGCAGCAATTAAACGTTCTACTTTAGCAATAATTACCACTAAACTACAAAGCTTTGCTTTTTTTAATTCCTTCAGAAAATATGTAAGAAAGTAGTGAGAAATTACAGACCTGGTAAATAAGTTAGAGTTTTAACTTAATAATTCTAGAGGAAGAATTATGATCAGGATTGGTCACTGGGTTAGGACAGGTTAGCAGAGGCACCAAAGCTACCATGTAAACTGTGTTTCTATGTGTGCCGAGAGCATTTCCATTGACAAAAATTGGAGTTGCCAAGTGTTCAATACTTTCAGTATAAAGTTTTTTATTTTTTATTTTTGAATTACTTTGTTGCCTCACAAACGTGTCACTCAAAGACAAGATCCCCACATGGGGAAGTGCCTTGACATTCAAACTTTCTGACATCGTTCTCATGAGCAGCGGTTGTTTTCGGACCCTTGCCATAAAGGTGGTCTCTGGAAACCGTCCCTCTCATTGGCCAACTTATCACATGTATTTCGTCTCGATTCCTTCGTCGTGAGTACATCGGTTTCTGTCAGATGATGGTGATAATGGCCTGGTTTTTTTTTTTTTTTTTGCTGGATCAGTGGATGGAGCTGGCTGATCAGAACTATTTGTGTGCATCACGGTGGCACTTTTCTTAGTTAAAGTTAACTAAGAAAAGTGCCACCGTGTGCATCACGGTGGCACTTTTCTTAGTTAACTTTAACTTCATATGTGCAATTTGAGCTGGTGGGCACACTGTGCAGGTCAACCTCAAAACAGTATAAGCCAATGGTTTGGAGTGATGCCTATAAATGTTTCTTCTGTTTACTATATGAAATGTGTTATTTTGCTCTGAGTTTACTCAAAAATACATTTATATATTAAAAAATACAAATAATGTGAATGTTTACAGTATATGGTTTAGTTTTTTTTCCTGCAACTCCAAGTATAATAATGACTTGTGGGCATTTTAATTAAGATAAAATAAAGCACAATAATTTTACTTATTTTGGGGTGACCTCATTATTATGTCATTTTTGTTTTSTTTTATGCCTTAATTCATGCTGAATATTGCAATTTGTGTAAACACCATAAACAAAGCACTTGTCTTTCATTTTTGTTTCATTTAAGTAAGAAATGTGTATTTGTTAATAACATTTTTCTGTACAGAAACCTAATCCAGTTTTAAATGTTGATGGGAGATATCTGGAACATCTGGGTGATGATTACGTTGAAACAACACATTTCTATCCCAATGGGAATGGACTTTAATCGCAGCAAATTTAAAGTGGTGTGAGTCCTGACATGCTGAATAAAAACATCAAATGATGTCATATATTTTAGGGAAAATATGGATTTTTGACCTTTTTAGTTTGGTTGATGGTCAATGGCAAGGTGCACTGAAGCTGGCAAGTTCTTAATTTTAACAAGACACTGTTTTCTTTAAATAACTTTACCACCTTTATCTTCTGGGATTTGGCCACACACACACAGAGGTTTGTTTTTATATCCCTGTAGGGACCGTGGATTGACTTCCATTAATTTTCTGGTAATTTTATAGCCTAACCCTGACCATTTACCCTAAAACTAACCTCACAGGTTACCTTAAAACTAACCTAAATTCAATCCACACCTTGTTACAAAAACCAAACCCCCCCATGCACCAGAAATTAGCAACCAAACCCGTGGAGCCTGCGTTTTTTTCTGGAAATTGGTTCCCACAATGTAACAAAAACATGCCCACACACACAAGTGTGTTAAACAGGTTCATCCAAAATCACTTTGACAAAAAGAGAAACTGATTATTGAAAATACATTGTAAAGTTTATTCAACCATCATTATCGGAAACTCCCAAGAGTAACACAGACCTGGCATTTCTAATAAACATTATCAGCACATTTACATGCAGGTAAAAAAAAAGACAAGTTATCCCAAACACCTCATATAGTATACAAAACCCAGCTAATGTRAACCAGCTGTGAGCAGCTTTTTAGTCCTTAAACTGTGAATGTTGTTTGAAGAGTATCTGACAGGAAAAGGTGATGCTAGAATTGACCAGCCTAACATCAGTGGTGCAGGAAATAAAAACATGAGCTGACCACTAAAGTCTGAACCTGGGTCAGACTGAAACTCTTCGATGGTGTTTCTGCTCACTGGGCTTTCCTCAGTCATGACCCGACAAATGAGCGCCCTTATTCCCGTGCGACTGGTCTGGGTTCGGTTTGGGTTGCAGAGAAGCGGCACAGCGGCTCATCAGCACAGAGTGGCTGCACCTGGCTATTATAAAAGCGAGGAGGGGGAACAATCGTGCAGCTTCCCTGATCCAGCCAATGACATTATCGTGTCTGTAGACAGATTAATATGCATACATCAGCATTCACTTTGATGTGATGAATATTCCACCAATTACTGAAGTGTCCTCCCACGCACTCACACAAAACGTTGGTCCCCCCTCAGATCCTTACAGGCATTAACACAATGTTAAAGATTTACACAAGCGGGGAGAGTGAAGGCGCATCATAAAAGACGAATAATTAAACGTACTCCTCTTTTAATCAAATGGATTACATTTTATTGGGAAATTAAATAAAACAATGCAAAGCTGTGCCGGGAAAGCAAAAACATAATCCAAAGTCGTAAAACTACATATAAAAACGTAGATAAAAGATAATGAGACAAGATTCGGGGGGATATATCTGACAGTGAGAAACAACTAATAACAATAGTAAAAGATCTTAACAGAGGCCATTAGGGCTAGTGACAACAAGCTCCATCTATGAACAAGGTATTTTTTTAAAAAGTAACTGCAGTGGTGTCTTTGTTTGGGATGTCCAGTACGATGTACCACAGAAAACAAAGCTCCAGTCTGTTACAGACGGACACAACCTGGTCCAGGAATTTTGCTACTTGTCAGAGTGCTGTGGATGGCGCCAGCAGATTCAGCAGAACTAGGAGGTAAAAAACACAAATTAATTACATATGCAACACCACTGACTGAACAAACTGTTATTATTAAAATTAATATTATTATTATAGTTTTAGCTACTATAATACATAAAAATAACACTAAGGGGACTTTGCTTAAATTGCATTTTGTTTCGAATTCTTGGTGTCGGCATAAAAACAATTATTTCAATAAATTCTGTTTGATGGGATTGTATTCATTACATCAAAAATATGGTTCTTATGTCAATATATTAGTTCTCCTGCAAATATATAATTTTTAATTTATTTGCTTTGAATTTTAAGAGATGCTCTACGCTGATCAGTGACTTCCTGCACAGCTGATTTACTCTGCAGTCTGAGGCAGCTTTCTGTCAGAAAGAAAGAAAGAAAGAAAAAAGAAAGAAAGAAAGAAGAGGCAGCTTTCAGTCAAAAAGGAAAGAAAGAAAGAAAGAAAGAAAGAAAGAAAGAAAGAAAGAAAGAAAGAAAGAAAAAAAGAAGAGGCAGCTTTCTGTAAAAAAAGAAAGAAAGAAAGAAAGAAAGAAAGAAAGAAGAGGCAGCTTTCTGTCAAAAAGGAAAGAAAGAAAGAAAGAAAGAAAGAAAG